ATTGTTCCTTCTATGCTGATGGTACAAGAAGGTCCTGGAACCCTAAGGAAAGTAGGAATAATCAACTTGAGAAGTTTCTATATGGTAAGAAAAGATATGATGTGTCTTGCCCTTTTCTTATCTACCATACTGAAATTGAATGCACCATTCTGCATACAGTTCAGAGTTCTTAAAGATGTAGAAATGATGAGAACATAACAAAAGGTATTCTTTAGTATTCTCAACCTTCCCTGTGCTCTACTTCTTCCAAATGAAAGGCTAAAGACATTTTAAAAAATGAGATTGTGACAAAATGCTAACTACGACATATCCATACATTCCAAAACCTGAAATGAGGTCTGAAGCCAGCAGACTCACTACTCTCTGTTCTTAGATTTTAGCATTTTTCCACCTACCTTCTCTCAACTAAATCTTCATGATAGTTTTTCCTGTAAGGACAATTACAATGAGATACGTTCTCTTCCCCATCTTAACTCAGAATATTATGATGCTAATTCTGCATTTTTTTGTATCATGGGATGGTGGTTTCTTTGTGGTATATGACAAAAATGCCCTTCTTCTTGACTCCATAGGAAGAAAACTGGCTATTAGCTTGGGACTTCAGCAAGGCACTTAGCAAGGTCTCTCATAATATCCTGTGGTCAAGAAGAAAAATATAGGCTGGATGACTATACAATTAACATGATTCATAGCTGGCTGAAACAACAGATGCCAAAAGGTGCTAATTAATGGAATGATATCAAACTGAAGGAGCTCTCCAGATGTTCTACAGCAATTTGCCCTTTGCCCAGTGCTGCCTGGTACCTATTATCAATAACTTGGATAAATACATAGAATAGTTTTCAAATACATGGGTAAGATCCAAGTACATTACAGCACAGCATCAGGGCCCAAAATAATAATAAAACAGGCTGAACCAGTGGGCCAAATCTAATGAGATAAAGTTTAAGTAGGATAATATAAAGTTCTGTACTTTGGTCCCTAAAAAATCCCCACTACTCAAGAACAGGATACACAAAATTTTGTTATATAGATGGCAGCATATAGATGTAGCTGTTAAAATAAGTCCATTAAATGTTAGGCAGCATTATAAGCAGTAGATATCTATTGGGTACTAGAAAGAACATTGGATTTGGCATCAGAAAACTGGGTCAAATCCCAGTTCTGAAACTATGGCCCTTAAACTCTTTGATCCTTACTTTCTTCTCAGGGTGGTTGTGAAGTTAAAATGAGTCTCTTAAATTAACATGTCTAAGTTCCAAGCACTTGTGTTCAGTAAATATGATCTAGAAAAATTACCATTTAGATTACAATAATATAAGTGGCTGTGCCACTCCATTTTGTCCTAGAAAAGATGGTACTTGGAATGAGAGGGGCCACACTCGAAAACAAACCAGAGTTACTTCTAAAGAGAGTGACCAGGATGGATGAGTGACTCAAAAGAGAACGTGAAGAATGGCTACAGGAACTGGGGATAACTGACTTGAAGAATAGTAGACTTAAGGAGACCGTATCTACCTTCAAACATCAGATGGTGTGCTTCATGGCCTTCTGCAGAGCTCCAATAGAATACTGGAGAATGGAAAATACAAGAATGTGGGCAAGGGCGACCACTTGGTGGGGATGTTGTGAGCGATTTCAGCACAAGTGGATGGTTGGACTACATGGCCTTTAACACTACAGTCTGATTGTCATATTTCCAGGACATTTTTCATGAAGTGGATCCTTCTAAGTCTGTCTCAAAATAATCCAGGATCTTTGCTATCTTGGATTGGGCTGGTTTCTTGCCTTGACATATCAGCTTTCTTCCAGCTCTAGGCCAGATACATTCTTTAACCTGTCTGACTTTCTTGCACCAGTTTACTCTTGCTGACTACTTTGTTTAGGAATTTCTGGTCACTTTTAAAATGTCATTTTTTCCCAAACTACACAAGGGACACAGTACAAAGGGTAATTTGTGGATATTTTTGGGATGACCAGCAAAGAATGGTTTTCTGGTTGCTGAAGTAAAAGGTGAAGTGGAAATTAAGAAACAGAATTTAAGAGTTCCAGAGTTGGAACTATGAACGAAGAAGTGGGTTGGGTGTATTAGACAAGGATTTTACTGGGAATTTAGCATATAGGATAGAAAGCAGAGACCAAAGACCTCTTGCTTTGAGGCTGTGGGCCTGCCGCAAAGGCTCAAAAGTTATTTGTTCAACGGATGACTTCTGTTTTCTAGATGCAAACTGAATCCCGGGTAGGTGGCTCAGCACCTCCAGCCTGTTCCAGATCGCCATAGGGAGGGTGCCTGGGGCAATCAGTAAGGTTGCCAGCCTCCCGCCGGCCTGGGCCAGCCCGCTCCCCTCCCATGTGACCCCAGGGAGCCATTTTAATTTTTTTACAGCCAGGCGTGGGGGAGAACTGGCTGCGCGCCGGTTGCCAAGGACGCGGCAGCCAGCTCAGCCTGGGGTGAAAGAGGACGCTGCGTGGGGGAGGGCTCCGCGGCTTCCGACTGGCTGAAGCAACAGGACTTATTTGCATAATATTTTCTGACGGCTTCTGATTGGCTGAAGACAAAGGGGCGGTGGTGGGGTGATTCCAAGGGCCCAGAGCTCTGGCCCGCGGACCTTTTCGTTCTGGAGGTACTCCGGTGGGTGTGAGTTGTTGCGGGGGCCCGGTTTGAGAAGTTTTGCAGGCAGGTACAGGAGCCATCTTTCTCTGATAGTGTTTTAAGAAATGTGCAAGGACACTGGCCAGAGTCAAGAAACTGAGGGAGGATGAAGGGTTATCTCGAGACTAGACAGAAGGAAACATATCGGGAGTGGGGGAGGCCAGAAGGAAGGAGTTAGGGGCTCTCTCCCAAGCTGGCGTTTTTGCTGGAATTCTTTTGCTAGGTCCCTTGGATTTCCGTTTTCCGTGAGTTATCACACTGCAGGAACTGGGAAGAAGAGAAAAAGAGGCAAGATTTTGGCATTTAGTAACTTAAGTCTGAATACCGAGTTTTCATTCGGGTGCATACGTACTTAAAATACTAAAAGAGTTCAGGAAGGGGGACAAAGTATGCTTTAGTTTATGAGAAGATCAGCTACTAGAAACCGAGTATCTGTTTTTCTCGAGTTTTCTTCTTGCAGTGCTCTTTCAGTCTCATTGGGCATACTTTATATTCTTTTCCTGCTTAAGCACTGGGGGTTGAGGGGGAAAGATCTGTGGCTCATCATAGCCAATTTCCACACTTTTAAGATTTCTGACTCTTGACATAAACACCTCTCACTATGATGAGGTCCTATATCAAGTACAATAAATATTTGTACCTTAAAATTTACATAGTGATTTTTATTTACATTATTTTATTTAACCTTAATCAAAATCCTTGGCACTGCCCATGGAACATGCTCCATTTTTTTTTTTTTTTTGATAAAAAAACGGAGGCTAGGCCGGGCGCGGTGGCTCAAGCCTGTAATTCCAGCACTTTGGGAGGCCGAGGCGGGTGGATCACGAGGTCGAGAGATCGAGACCATCCTGGTCAACATGGTGAAACCCCGTCTCTACTAAAAATACAAAAAATTAGCTGGGCATGGTGGCACGTGCCTGTAATCCCAGCTACTCAGGAGGCTGAGGCAGGAGAATTGCTTGAACCCAGGAGGCGGAGGTTGCGGTGAGCCGAGATCGCGCCATTGCACTTCAGCCTGGGTAAGAAGAGCGAAACTCCGTCTCAAAAAAAAAAAAAAAAAACGGAGGCTAGAAAAGTTTCTAAGTTTATGTGTGCAGAGAAAGAAGGTGAGATTATTTTAATACTTCAAAATTATATAATGCTTTTTTTCCCCTCTATATTTTTCTTTCCATTGATCTTCCTTCAAAACCCTGATAGGTCTATCCCAGTTTTGCAAGTAAGAAAATATGGGCTATGATCTAGAGCTAATAAGTTTTGAGGTAGTGGGTCCCCAGGCTTGGGTCTGTCTCCAAGGGTCACTGACTTTTTTTTGTCAACAGATTAGTCCTTGTAGCACCAAGTCAGAATTTCATTCAAAAGACAATTAGGAAGATGGTTTTCTATGGAAAATATTTAAATATAGGTCTTAATGTGAAAGAGAAATGGAAAGAAACTCCTTTATTATGTTCTCCCTTCCTTTGGCATTTTTTGTTCTCTTGGAAAACAGTGTACTAGGGACAGACAACCCTGTTAGGTTTTAGAGAAAAGGGATTTTTTTCTTTTCCTTTTCTTTCTTTCTTTCTTTTCCTTTTTTTTTTTTTTTTTTTTTGAGACGCAGTCCTTGCTCTGTCAGCCAGGCTGGAGTGCAGTGGCTCAGTCTCGGCTCACAGCAACCTTCGCCTACCGGGTTCAAGCGATGCTCCTGCCTCAGCCTGAGTAGCTGGGATTACAGGTGCCCTCCACCACGCCCGGCTATTTTGTGTTTTTAGTAGAGACGGGGTTTCACCATGTTGGCCAGGCTGGTCTCGAACTCCTGATCTCATGATCCACCCGCCTCGACCTCCCGAAGTGCTGGGATTACAGAGGTGAGCCACCGCGCCCGGCCGTGAGAAGGGATTTAAAATGAGAAGCTTCAATTTTATTGAACATAATTGTAGGACTATCAGAGAGGACTGGTGGATGAGGAATATGGCAAGGGACGTGAAGTGGGAAAAATTAAATAGACTGTCGTTTGTAAGTCTCAAAGTGAAATTTAAGGTGCAAGGCTCTTAAAAGTTAAATATAGCAATTCGGTACATAGCTTAGGCCCTATTAAATGACCCAGTGCTTTAAGAACTATCTTTTGAAAGGAACACTTCACGCAAGCACCCTCAAAACTAATTGGACACCTCCCCCCTTCTCTGTTAAATGATGAAAGACACCCAACACTGGAGCTAACTACTGTCACCCTCTCCTGGCCTCTTGGCAGCCAAAAGGCCACATGGCCCAAGCTCTCCAGCATCACTGTGTAGCCGACTTGGACAAAAATTGGCTTTTCCTCATTGCCACGTTCAGAGCTCTTGAAAGAATCTGCAGATAGCATAGTGTGCTGCTCTTCATCCCCTGGCTACCACTGTTACAGGCAAGATTGGGAAACATCCCGCCCCGCCGGGAGGGAGGCAAAAGCCTCTGACGGTCCCCTCTCCCCAGTTGATCAAGGCCAGGGCCACTGCGGGAGCACCCCGCGTCCACGTGCACCCAGCATGCGCGGCCACCCTTCTTACGTAAGAGTCCCAGGATGGAGTTGTACCCGCTGCCGGCCCCTCTTCCCCGACAGCTAATAATAAACCTGGGTTCCTGTTTCCCGGCCGCGGCCACTCCAGATTCGGGGTCGAGGGGTTAACTCTGCAACCAAGGCACGTGCATTCCGGTCATCCCACCCCAAGAACGCGCGTACGGCCCGCCTACCCCCCACTTGCCAGCCCACCCTCCAGCTGGTCGGGACGCCGACACCTTTTTGACCCTCGCAGTGCCCGGCTCTCCCCGAGCTGGCCAGCCCAGGGCTTGGTACTGGCGGGGACCGGCTGCTCTAATCCCTCCTCTGCTCTGCCCTGCCCAGTCCTGCCCTGCCCCGCCCCGCCCTGCCGCGCCCTGCCCCGGCGCCCTCCCTCAGCCCGGGTATCAGGCGAGAGGCGGAGCTGGCCCGGCGCGCCCCGCCCCCGCTGTAGAAAGGGCTGGGCAAGTGTTACTCGCGGTCATCCCGGCCCGGGCCTTTTATCTCTGTGCTGCCGGGGGAGGCGGGAGGAGGAGACACAGGGGTGGCCCCCAACGCCGGCGACACCTTTCCTGGTCTATAAATTGAGCACCTGGGATGGGTAGGGGGCCATCTCAGCCACCGCCGCCCGCAGTCATAGTCCGGCCACTGACCGCAGCAGCGCCCTTGGGCAGCAGCCGCTGGCAGCGGGAACACTGAATCGCCAACGAGCAGGGGAATCTCCAGGCACAAAAGGAGGTGGGTGCCCCCGCCCCATCGCTGCCCCGGCCAGCGTAGTTGCTTGAGCTCAGGCTTTTCGGAGGGAGAAGTTGTGGTGGTAGGGGGTAGGGGGACCCTTCTCCCGGCGGCCCTAGGCGGGCGAGGAGGTGGGACTGTCCAGCCGTGGGGAGCCACCCAGGCGTCGTCCGGGACCAGCTGTAGCCAGAGACGGGGGTGCGCACGGGTGGGTGAATAATCTAATCTGTTCTTTCGTCCTCGTGCACCAAACAAGCCAAGGCTTGACCTACAGACCATCCTCAGCCATCGCGAGTTTCCGGACGCCAAAGCCAAGAGAAGCCGCCCATCCCGCAGGGCCGGTCTGCGAGCGAGACGAGAGTTGGCGAGGGCGGAGGACTGCCAAGAATCCCGCCACACCGGCTACAGCCAGGTCCCCAGCGCGGGCCTTGGAGGCGGGCAGACCCTTGACCCGGCTGACCATCCCTGTGCCCCTGCGTCCCTGCGCTCCGGCGCCCGCACGGCCACCATGATGCAAATCTGCGACACCTACAACCAGAAGCACTCGCTCTTTAACGCCATGAATCGCTTCATTGGCGCCGTGAACAACATGGACCAGACGGTGATGGTGCCCAGCTTGCTGCGCGACGTGCCCCTGGCTGAGCCCGGGTTAGACAACGATGTTGGCGTGGAGGTAGGCGGCAGTGGCGGCTGCCTGGAGGAGCGCACGCCCCCAGTCCCCGGCTCGGGAAGCGCCAATGGCAGCTTTTTCGCGCCCTCTCGGGACATGTACAGCCACTACGTACTGCTCAAGTCCATCCGCAACGACATCGAGTGGGGGGTCCTGCACCAGCCGCCTCCAGCGGCAGGGAGCGAAGAGGGCACTGCCTGGAAGTCCAAGGACATCCTGGTGGACCTGGGCCACTTGGAGGGCGCGGACGCCGGCGAAGAAGACCTGGAGCAGCAGTTCCACTACCACCTGCGAGGGCTGCACACTGTGCTCTCGAAACTCACGCGCAAAGCCAACATCCTCACTAACAGATACAAGCAGGAGATCGGCTTCAGCAATTGGGGCCACTGAGGCGGGGCTCCCGCGGCCGTCTAGCACCCTTTTCGACCCATCTCACCCTCTCATTCCTCAAAGCTTTTTTCTTACTGGCTGTGGGGCGGAAAGGGCAGACTGCATATTAGGGGGCGGCATACTTGCAAGAGGCGCGGTAGGGCTGCAAGGAGGAGGGGGCCTCGTGTGAGAGAGGAGAAGAAAATGGTGGCCGGAGAGGGGAGGGCTCAAGGAACCTCCCGGGAGGGGGCCTGCATTCTATGTTGGTGGAAATGGGACTGGGCTGACGCCCTGCATTCAGCCTATGCCTTGCCCTGGGTTTCTTTTCTGTTCTTTTCGGAGGAGAAGGGGCCAAGCCAGGGCGCGGCGCTGGGTTGCCACACTTCGGAAAGAAGCCCGGAGCTGGGTGCTGGGGAAGGCGGGGCACACAGTCTCCCGCCGCCCTGCGGTTGGGTCGGTGGAGGCCCAGGCGTTGTTGCTAGGATTGCATCAGTTTTCCTGTTTGCACTGTTTCTTTTTGTAACATTGGCCCTGTGTTAAGTATTTCGAATCTCCTCCTTGCTCTGAAACTTCAGCGATTCCATTGTGATAAGCGCACAAACAGCACTGTCTGTCGGTAATCGGTACTACTTTATTAATGATTTTCTGTTACACTGTTAACACTGTATAGTAGTCCTGTGGCACCCCCACCCCATCCCTTTCATGCCACTCCCGTCCCCGTCCCCACCGCAGTGTGTATAAGCCAGCATTGCGCCAGCTTGTACGAAGCTTGCCACTCAGTGAAAATAATAACATTATTATGAGAAAGTGGACTTAACCGAAATGGAACCAACTGACATTCTATCGTGTTGTACATAGAATGATGAAGGGTTCCACTGTTGTTGTATGTCTTAAATTTATTTAAAACTTTTTTAATCCAGATGTAGACTATATTCTAAAAAATAAAAACGCAAATGTGTCAGCTAAACTGCAAAATTGTCTGGTCCTCATTAATCTGCCAATGAATGGTTTCGTCGTTAAATAAAAATCAATGTAATTGATTTACTAGCAAAAGTAAATTTTGTATTCTCTGGTATTTCATGGTGGTGGATATTCATCTCTGCAAGTACTTAGTTTTGTTTGGGAACTAGGTATTGAAAAAAATTTACTTCCAAACTTTATTTCTAATTCAGTACCAAGATAGGACCATACATCTCAACAAAAAGTCTATAAATATTCAAACTATTTGGGAAGGTGCATATACTGTATCTTTCAACGAATTTGGCTAACTTATTGGTGTGTGCATAATCAGCATTTTGAATTTTTTAAGAATTTGGAGCACAAGCTAGTGTTTTGAGGCATAAAAACAAGCTAAAATTTCACTTGGTTACTGAGAAATGAAAATTAGAAAGGGAAGACCAGTGCACACATATTGCAGGTTTTTATGTTTAACTGAGTAGATATTTAAATGCATTATAACATGATCAATGACTTTTTTCACTAGTTCCAACAAAGTACTAAGCCTTGTTGAGCAGCGTCCAGTAATGCTTCCAGTTTTTCAGTGAGCCAGTCTGCAATTGTGGACAGCAATTCTGATCAAGGCTGCTGTAGAGCCCTTGGGAATGCTTAGATGCCATTATGATGCTCTACTGGGGTGGTGGGAAAGGTAAAATACAGTGCTCTGCATATTCTTTATTTCATTATTTGTTTTGGGGGATAAATGTCAGATCAACTTCTTGAAATCATGAGGCATTCTCTAAGCTCATAAGGCTTGAATTTAAAATGCATATAACTTTGCAGTCTTAAACAGCAAAATGTTTTGTGGTGCTGGCGGGCAGGGGCAACTCAAGTCTATTATCAGCTTTTAGCGGCAGTGAAAAAAAATGGGGAAGTGTGAAGATGGGTGCTTGCCAGTTGCCAGAGAAAGTTAATCTTTAATTAGTATAAAGATAAGCTAAGCAGCACCAAAAGTAACGCATACAGCCTCTTGTCTAGAATCCCCTTTAAAATATTAAAGTGCAAGCAAAAAATAAAGGAAACTGAAAAAAAAAAAAAAAAAAAAAAAAGCTGCATGGTAGAGACAAAGACTTTCAAAGACTTTGTAGCCAGAAACTGCAAATCCTCTTGCTACTACTTACTAATTGTATGCATTTAACTCCAAGCCTGTTGCCACATTAATAATCAGGCATACTAATAACTACACTGCTTACTTCATGGAGTTGCAGTGAGAATTAAATGAGATTATATATAAAGTGTTTGAGGCTTACAATATTCTTTAGGCACTACTGAAGTGCTTTGCAAGTTTCTTTTTTTGATGTTTACAGTGATTACATTTATCTAAGCAACATTCATATATGTTTAACATGTTGGCTACATTTCTCTGACAAATATGCTTTTAGAAAAAACAACAATAGCATTATAGAGTTAATGCAGAGTCCTAAGCGTAGTCTAGTAGCCACTAAGTTTTTCTTAAGTCTTCATTTTAGGTGCTGTTGTTTCTAGCACAAGTAAGCAGGCAGAGTCTTTCATCTGTGTAAATACTGGAGTCTTGGTTGCTACCATTATCGGCTGGCTTGTAAGCAAGAAGCCAACCATTTTAGGAATGCTTTACAGGAACAACTTGCAAACCCCCAGGGATGGAAAAAACCCTAAGAGTGCCTAATTGTGAGCATGTACAACCGTCATAACTGTGGCTGAAGACTATGCCCTTCTGAAATGAGATCTCAAAGCAATATAGTTCGAAACAAAGGGTTTCAGCAAAAAATTGACGTACGCACAATTTCTCCCCCACTTTGTGTGTGTCAGCCATTTAGTTAACTTTTCCACTTGAAAAAATGCAATAGAAAACCAGACACCATGTTTCATCATCTCAGTTAATATTCAAAATTACTGTGGCTACAACTAGGAAAGGCATCACCAGCTGCCCAGAGTCACTTCATATTGAAATTAAGTTCTTTGCATCAAGTAAATGGTTGTTTACAATCACTGGCTAGTGTACATATGAACTAAACTTTCTACATTTGGAGGGGAAACAAATGCTGCTCCCATCATCTCCTGCTACTTCTGTTCCTCAGTTCATCTTAGAAACCTTTCCTGTTACTCTTGGTTTTGTCAGTTTGCTTGCCTGTGGGGGTTTGGGCCTGCTGATCTGTTCATTTCTCTCTTAGTCTAAATGCTGTTTCATGTCTCCATTTCTGCTCCCACCCTACATTATCAGTGAATATATGAGGCTTAGGACAATATGTCCACTTTAAGGAAAAGCATAATTTTTATTACATATGTGAAGCAACAAGTAAACTATTTCCTTTCTCAGAACCATGAAGGAGAAACTGACTTAAAAAACCAAAAAATAAAAAATAAAAAATATCACAGTTTGGGCAAGTGACAGCAAGAACTCTGGGGACATTCACTGAAAGTTGTTTTCAGAATATTATTGCAGTGTATGTAATACAGAAAATTACATGCAGATAGCAAAACTAAACTGTAAAGAGTTATTAATTATTAACTTTATTTTTGAAAATATTTCTTCAAGTAAGAGAATTTTTATATGTAAACAGTGACTCTGACCTGGCAGTAATGATGCTCACTGTTAAAAAGCATTGGGATATTTATGAACGAATAAGGTTTCCCAGGCTCAGTAAGTACTATTCCACTAAAGTAACTATGATTTTATTCCAGATCAGTTTGTGAAACAAAATTAGGACAACTCCCCCAAAGATTCACCAGTTAAAACTTCTCAAGCTATTGAAAATTTTGCTTAACTTCTGAAGTAAAGCAATAAGTGACTTCATATTTTCAGAAGGTCTCTCCTGAGGGATCTCAAAGTCATTTGTAGATTTTAAGAGTTGAATAGAGTTGAATTTTAAGACTTGAATACATCGTGTGGCATCCCTTTCAGAGAGCTCTCAGAGATACTGGCTGTCTGACAGTGCCCATCTCCATGGCAGTTTATGACTAAAGGGAAGACACAGATAAATAAACCGGGCAAAAAGGAACAGGTTAGGGGGCAATTGATCACCCTCCAGATATTTACATTTGATAAGAATGTAGGAATTTTTTACATCAAAACCTTGTACCAAAGCTTCTGAGAAAGCCTGATTTTGCCCCTCGACACTGCTTTCTGCTTTGTTCACATGGGGATTTTCATGTTTTACATTTATACAATGTTTCTCAGTGGTTTGGCCTAATTTACTCTTTCTGTAAACTTAAAAGCAGTTTGTTAGAGAGCATGGCACTGCAGCTGCCGTAATTACTCTTTTGACCAACTTGAAAATTATTCTGCTGTTGACAACTTTTTTTTAATGAAGGTTATTGGCATTTGCATATGCCTCATCATTTCCCCTTATTTTTAGTTACTGAGCAAAAATCATTTGAAAAATAGTGCCTCTCCTCTCTCCCTCTTTCTCCCTGTTTGTCTCGCTCCCTGCCCTCATCCCTTCCTCCCTCTGTTCTGCATTGCCAATGATTCTCAGATGTTTGCAAATTGGACACAGTTCTGGTGGATTCAGAGCTCAAATCTCATACAATGTACCTTTTTTCCCAAAGGTATTTATCTTTTGATGGTACATCTAGTACATTTTTCCCAATCATTGCAACTTTCGTTCATTTATTTTGAAGGGTTTTGGATACAATAATGACAGAAGGAATGTTTTCTTTTAAAATTTTGAAGATGATGTTTTGCTCGCAATTAATAAAAAACTTGATTGAAAGTTTTTGAAAACTCTAAAGATGTAGCATATTGGATTAGTCTCTTAAAATTAATATTAGTCTTTTGAAAGTTGAAAAGTTTAGGTAGCTTCTAATCAAGACTAAATTGCTTTAATCGCTAAGATGATTTAAAGTTAAAACTATTTTTTCTTTTAAGGCTGTGCACATTTTTTTTTAATTTTTATTTTTTTTAATAACTCAGGGAAATGTAAAGGTTGTTCTTGAGTCACCAAACATTTTGCTAGGCCTCTAGTTAGTTTACTTGGAGCTGTGTAGAACTTTCTGATAGGTGGCGGACATGATGATAATGATGATAATGTATTACCAACAACTGTTTTGGTCTCTGAAAACTAGTATTATCTGACTCATGCAAATCTCATGCCCAGAATTCTCCACTATATAAGGCCCCAACTCTTACTGTCATAAGGCCTAGCCACTTCCCATGGGGCAAAGAATCCTCACGGCCAAAGGAATACCCAGAACTGTGTCCCTATTTTTAGACCACGCTCTAGGCACTTGGATCCCCAGAGTTTCCTGTCCAAATGGCTCTGGGCTCATTCCTGAGATTTCACAGGCATCTGTTCTGGGTGTATTCTCTAGTGGTAGAGTCGCTGCTGATGTGTGCACCCCTAGGCCTGGGGCTTGTTGGGAAGCTGTGGATGGAGCTTGGACATGCAGACTGGGCTGTTCAAATTTGTGCATACAAGGCCTTTTGCGGTACAGAATGAAGCTTGGGTAGGAAGATAAGGAGGTGGAGCAGAGGTTGGGGATTCCTGTTTGTTCTCTTGCCCCGTCTCCCTGGATTTTAGGATCAACAAAGGGTTTGAAGCCTGCAGAAACGAAACAAGAGGTGAAAGCAGCTCAAGCTTTAAGATCTCTTTTGGTTTCAACAAATGAGGATTTCATGGTTTTTCTTCCTATTTCCTACATACCTCAGGAGTCACCTTGCTCCACGGAAGAATGTTATTTAATTAATACAATGGTGATTGAGGAAAAGAAAATCCGCAACTGTACACAGAACTCTTCCAGCTGCTATTCCGTGCTTGAATAGTATTGATTGCAGCTAATGTACTTATTCCGAACTCAGATACATCTTTCTTACAGACATGAGGATTTCACCTCCCCAGATAGTCTTTTTTTTTTTTTTGGTTGAGTTAGCTGTTTCCTTTTTAGTATTAAAAGTCTTGGTCGGGGGTGGGGGTGGGGGGTAAAATACATAACAAATAAAATAAAATAAAAGTCTTGTTTAATTTACAGCAGAAAAAGAAGAGTTGTGCATCTGTCTAAAGAAGTCCCCTAAAACCATGGCTATCTTGTCAATCCTTCCTGTTTTGACATTCTGTACTTTTAAGAGAAACATT